CTCAATGTCAAGAAGACAAAGATTCTCACCACTGGGCCAAGTGGTAGCATCATCTCATCTAGGTTGTCTAATCTGTTGCCCTTATAATATTTTTACTTCTGAAAAGTTGGTAGTAATATCCCCTGTTTCATTCTTAATTTTTGTTATCTGAGTAGTCATCGTCGTCTTTTATTTTTTTCTCTCCTGGTCATTCTGAAGGTTTGTCAATTGTGTCAAGCTTTTCAAAGAATTAACTTTTTTTCATTAATTTTCTCAATTATTTATTCACTTATTTCCACACTTCATTATTTCCTTCATTCTTCTTCCTTTAAGTTTAGTGTGTTTTCCTTATTTTACTTTCTTAGGATGAAAGTATAATTTGATTTGAGAGATTTCTTTTTAAAATATAGTTATTTAAAGTATAAATTTTCTTTGTATAATCCTTTAACCTCATCTTATTAGTTTTGCATATTGCTTATACTATTCCATTTATCTAAAAATATTTTATCATTTTCTTTATAATTTAGCCTTTGATAAATTTGAGTTAGCAATGTGTTACTTAATTTTCACATTTTTTGTGATATTCATGTTATTTCTAATTTTATGTTATTATAGGACATATGTTATATAATTCAATCCTTTCAAAGACACTTATGGCTTAACATACCGTCTATCCTAGAGAATATTCTGTACACATTTAAAAGGACTGTGTACTCAACTGGGGTTATGTGGAATGTTTTATAGATATTTATTCTAATTGTTTTAGGATGTTGTTTACATCTTTTATTCTCTTGTTTGTCTGCCTAGCTATTCTACCCATTGAAGTTTCCAATTTTTATTGTTAAACATCTCCACCCTAAATTCTGTCTCTGTTTTTGTTTCTTGTATAATGGAGGTTTTCTTAGAAGAATATATATACAAAATCCTTGTGGCCTTCTGACATATTAACCATTTTATAGTAAAATTTGCAATATACTATTAATTTTTTAGAGAACTCTGGTTGCCCTAGTGGTAAGGAACATAGCTGCCAACCTCAAGGCATGCAGTTCGTATCCACCAGCTGCTTCACAGAAAAAAGATGGGCATTGTCTTCCTGTGTGAATTATTGCCTTTGAAAACTCACTGGAGGGTCAGTTACGAGTTGATTCTCACTCAAAGAAACAACAATATAAACTGTTTAGTAACAATTTCTCTTTTAAAGTTAATTCTTTTCCTGAGATTTATTTAATGACTGAAGCTTTCCTTTGGCTAACTTTTGTATGGTTTAATTTTTCCCATTTGTTTATTTTCAAACTGTAAATGTCTTTGAGTCTCTATCTCTCAAAAGATTTTGTATCTGATTAACAGAATAGTCTGACTTTTCTTAGGAAATAGCTGAGGAAGCACACATGCCACCCTGTTTGAGACCTCTCTTCCTCATTTTTCAATGATGATGCACTGTTCCATTCCAAAAGTTCAGACATCATTTTCACTACTAAGAATAATATCACTTAAGTAATTAAGACTTATCTCAGGTCTGAAAATGTTCTGTTCTGTATTAAAAATTCTGTGTCATATTCCTTTCAAAGCTACTTCCTCCATGTAGGTTACACCTGGAACTTAGGACTTGCTGTGAGGAAAGGATCAAGGTCTGTTTGTTCTTTCCTTTCTTCTCTTCCTCCTCTCTCTCTTATTTATTTATGGCTCTTCCAGGTTTGCGAAGTAAAGATTTTTTTTTAACAAAGATAAAAAGTCTTATTATCTATCTAAATCTACAGCAGTTGTTTTCTCTTGGCCAGCTCTGCCCGCTACGAGATCAGCTCAGGTGCTGGTTTTCTCAGGTGATATACATGTGAGTTCATGCACAAGTCCTTTCTTACCAGGGTGATGTGCTCTCTAAATGACTCGTTTGAACCACCCCTCTCAGATTTACCCTCACAGACGTTAACTTTTACCTCATAGATTAAATGCCTCTTACCTGGAAGGTTACACCTTGAATATGCACCTTAAAAGATCCCTACCAAAGGTATTTTCTTGTCATTTAGAACGCTCAAGAATTCTTACTGAGCCAAACAGTGGAAGCAGTCTTCTTTATTGCGCTGCCTTCTCTCTTTATCCAACTATGGTAGGCTCCTGTAGGTGGGATCTCATTTTCACAATTCTCTAAGAGGGAATCAGATTACATCCTCCATAGTCCCCTTTGTCCCAAACTCTTGAATTCCCATTCAACAACATGCCCAAGCTTCCTCTTTGTATTCTATTCTAGTGTCTGTATCTGTTAGGCAAAGTTCAGTAGTTTTGCAAATCCTTACCATAGTGGTAGTGGCTAGAATCTAAGTGGCGCTGCTATCTGCAGTCTCTTCAGTAGGTTCTCTTGGACTGCTTCCAATACTTAACTCAATGAAAGGGAAAATGGAATAGCTGAAACACAATTCCTTGAGGACTTCCTATTTTAATGGATTTTTTTCCCCCTACTTTGAAGAATTTCTGGTCTACAGATGATTGGGAAGTAGATGATAGAGGTAACTTGTTTGGCTATTTTTATTTATTTATTGTTCTGGTTTTTTAAAGAGAAATTATTGGTTTTCATATAAGAATTTCTTTACATTATGTTTCGTTCATATACATTGTATTTTTTTACACTCTTTAACTTACATTGTGTTTCATACAATCACTCATATATATATCCTATTTTCATTATTTTTTAATTGGTTTACTTACAAAATTTATATACATTGTGTTTCACATTATTCTTCATTTACATTGTGTTTTACATAATCATTCTCATACATTGTATTTTATAAAATCAATCACCATTGGATCTTTCCCATCATTACCCTATCTTTTCATCTGGATCCTTCCCATTTGCGCCCCCCCTCCACCCACCAAACTGTGCGGCCCTGTGATTTCACCCCTACCTATACTCTCCCCTCTGCTCTCCTGCTCCCCCATTAAGTTATTTTACATGTTATACTAGTTATTCTATTTTTACAATAATGGTAATAATGCAGTATTTGTCCATATGAGACTGTGCCAGTTCACTCAGCATAATGCTTTCTAGCCTATCCCAATACATAATATTTTTCAAAATCATTGCTCCTGAGTGCTGCATAGTATTCCATTGTATAAATGTACCACAATTTTTCAATCCATTCAGTTGTGGTTGGACATTTGGACTGTTTCCATGTTCTTTTAATGGTGAATAATGCGGCTATAAACATTGGTGTACAAATCTTTTGTGTCTCAGTTCTAATTTCCTTGGAATATAAGCCTAGTAGTGGAATAGCTGGGTCATTTGGAGTTTCTATGTTCAACTTTTTGAGAAAACAGTGTTTAGCTATTTTTTTAAAAATTATTTTTTTGTGTGTGTACCGTCAAATTGGATCTGACTGGTACAGGAGGAAATTGTTCCTCCTTCTCCAGCAGAGCATTTGGTGGATTTGAACCAATCACCTCTGGGATTGCAGTGCAACTTCCTGCCACTAGACCAACAGAGTTACCTTGTGTTTGGCTATTTTTAAAGAAGGTTCTCTGACAATATGCTTGAGGGCTCATCTTTAGAAATTAAAATGTCATTTTAGTACAATATTCAGTTTATACTTGGAAAGGTACATGTACTATGATTGCAAAATTTCAAGTCTAGGAATTTACCCTAAGGAAGTAACTATAGATATGTGAAATAATTTCACTACAAGGTAAAACCAAAACAAAAAAAGTTAGATTCAATCTAATTTCCCAACAAAGCAGAACAGGTTAAAAATGACACAGAAAAATATTAGATACTTATTAAAAGTTATAATCATTGAACAACATGATGAGAATTATTTATTGTTAAGAAATTCTACATGTAAAGAACATTGGTTAAAGTGAAACATACCCTGTTACTTGTTTATTTACACTTTTAAAAAATGTTTATAATGCAAACAAAAACATTTAAAAAGTCACAAGAGGTTATTTAATATGCTAAATGACAAAGCAGAGTTGTAGAAGAAAAACTATACACACATAGGTGAAGAAAATTAGAAGAAATCAAGACATTGTAGATAGTAACTATTCTTTGTATAATTTCTTTTTTGTTTATATTTTTTAATACAATTAAGTTCTTCTGCTTTTAAATAAAGAGAAAGTGAGGAAGCTGTGATTTTGACTAAGAAAACTGTAATGGAATATTCATGAAAAGTTGCTATATAAAAGATGAAAACATTTCTTCCTAATTGACACAAGTATAACACAAAAGCCAAGTGGTACAGGCTGTGTAGTCAGAGTTTTTAAGCTCAATACAAAGAAGTTTCTAATAATGATTATATTTTGCCACAATAAATACTGAGTTTTCCATCAATAGAGGTAATCAAGCCTAGTTTGAGTGACTACTTGGCAGTGATGATATGTTGTTGTTGTTGTTAAGTGCCGTCGTGTCATAGGCAACTCATAGCGACCCTATGAACGAAGGTCCTCAACACTTGGGTGACTTTCATCCTCTCTCCAGGTTCATAGGGTTTCTGGAGGCAAGTTATTACGGAAGTGGATACCACTCCTGCTTCCAAGCTTGTTTCAACCAGGGAGCTCCACCCCACACTGTCCACCATGGGTAACCATTAACGAATTTGACACATCAGTGTCACGGTGTTCAGCTTCACAGCAACCACGAGTTACCGCTGTACAACAAATGGACACACCAGGGCTCTACGATCTGGAGGAATGTGTGAACGAAAACAATGAAAGACAGGCCTGAGGGCCGCGGATTAAAAGTCACACACCTTTGGCTTGGTAGCATCACTTTCTGTCCACTAGGCCAACTGATCACTCTCTATGTGATATAGGATGATATAAGCAGAATTATCTCAGTTCCTACCTGCTACATTGTCAGAGTATAAAATGTCAATTAGTTGCTTGTTTACACAAGAAGGAAGAAAGTTGATATTTATCCAAGATAATTTCACATGGAGTCATCACAAGTTGAAAGCAACTGGACAGCAACTAAATATGTAAAATCAACAGTAATGTTAATACTCACGTGTCATTGTCTTTTTTCTTTCTTCCAGCCTGTTGGTCTTTGTAAAGGTTCTCTGAGTCGAAGAGAAACAGAAAAGTTTATCTCAGTGGCTTGTGATTTCTTTTCACCTCAGGTACTTTCTAATCCTTGCGTTTTGTGAAGAAAAGAGAAAATTGTCTGTGTTTTATTTCCGTATTTATTTCTTTTAATGGTCTGCATTTATTTTAGTTGTCTGTATTTTAGCTGCAACAACCTCACTCCTTCATTTCGTTTTCCTGAGAGAGTCATAATTGCACGTCACTAGGGTTGCACTACAGCTGTGAGGGAGCTGTTTAAAGACCCATCACGCTTTGTTTTAGGAACTCGTCACACATCATTCTGTTTAGTGTGGTTCTGCATAATAAGGAAGAGCCCTTCAGACACTAGGATTCACTAAGTTTAGCTGTGATTGGCCTCTGGGACATTAAATTCATTGTCTTAAAGAAATCTGACTCAGAATGATTGGAAGAATTTGCTTCTGTGGGAACACTCAATCCCTTTCCAGAAGTGTTTATTGAGCATTTAGCCCGAGGCAGCCTGGGTTTAGGTGAAAGGGCAGTTGAGATAAGCAACCTGCATTCTAGACCTGCTCTGTCACTCCTGAGCATGATCCAGGCCATTACTTACCTCTTCGAATCTCACTTGCCTCATCTAAAAATGGGATTGAAATGCTGGACTCATTCAGGTGCTAGTGAGAAACCAGGGGAGGGACTTGGATGAAGGCTGCTGCTCAAAGGCTGGCCCAGAATAGCAAATTGATAAAATAGGCTCTTAGGAACAAGCTAGGAGCAGGAACATGGGGGCACTGGGGACTTGGAACAAATCATTAGCCTCTCTGTATTATCCTCATCTCAGCAAAGTATGAGACTTGCAGTAGTTCCAAATCCTCTGCAAGACCCCTTGGTCTTTATGTCTTTTGCTTTGTAAATCTTTAACCAGGAGATCTCGTTCTTTTGAGAATCTCTCTTTAAATCATTCCAACAGAAAGGCACAGAACAGTGTATCTTGACACAAGGCACAGTAGGGCTTTCTCTCCAGAACTCTGCATTTTAAAAATTATCTCATTTCAGGCTCTTGACTATGCTGCTAGCCAGAGGGCAGCCAAAGAGGCCCGGGAGAATGAAACTGCCTCCATCAATCCCGAGTCAAATATTATCCCAGGACTCATCCAACGCCTCCCTGACTTGGATGATGAGAAATGTGAAGATTCTAAAGGAAAGCCCTCTCAGGGCTTCTCTGTGGAGCTGGATCTGACTACCAATCCCGAGGGAGAAGTACTGGATATCTCCTACCTCTTCGATAAAACCCCCAAGAAGCTGCTTGTCCTGCCTTTCCCCAAAGGAGAGGAGTATTCTGACGAGTGCCCAGGGCCAGCTAGGGATGACAGTCCTCTTGTTCTTACACCATGAGAACCCCTGGAAGGATTCTTCCATGGGTAGGGTACTATAAATGAAAGGGAAGGTGGTGCAAAGGGACAGATGGTGATTTCACATCCTGAGAGTGGCTAATAAAGATTGGGTTTTGACTCACTTTGTTCTTAGTCATGTTGACTGGGAGTGGAAATAATGGGACTAACCCTCCCTTGTGTACTAGGTTCCATCCTGTCTAATCTGTCTCAAGTCCTCCTGTTATGGAGTGATGCCCGTTGTGTCTCCACTCTTTTGCTCATACAAGTTTTTTACCCTTTCAGCTTACAAACATACATAAATCTCTGTATTAAAGCTAGAATTAAGGATATTTACTCCAAAAACCTATACTTGGACCAAGAGGCAGTCGTCAGAAGAGAGCAGGGTAACACTGCATGGTTCAAAATTGGGAAGGGTATAAGCGAGGGATGTGTCCTATCTCCATACCTTTTCAACCTATATGCAGAGCAGATTATTTGGGAGGCTGGGCTCTATGAGGAGAAATGTGGGGTCAAGATTGGTGGAAGATCTATCAACAGTCTGAGACTGTGATGACACAACCCTGCTTGCTGAAACCAAAAAGGACCTCATGCACTTACTGCAGAGGGTCAAGGACTGCAGCCTTCAGTATGCGCTGAGGCTCAATGTCAAGAAGACAAAGATTCTCACCACTGGACCAATAGGTAGCATCAGGATGGATGGCGAAGAGATTGAGATTGTTCACAGCTTCAGTTTTCCTCAGCTCCATGGTCAACACTCTTGGCACCAGCAGTCAGGAAATCAAAAAACGTGTTGTGATGGGAAAGTCTGCTGTTAGGGACCTCTCTAAAGTACTCAAGAGCAACGGTGTCTCTCTGGAGACTAAGGTGCACCTGATATGGGCCATGGTCTTTGCTATCACTTGTTATGCATCAGAGAGCTGGACAATGACTAGGGAGGACAGAAGGAGAATCGATGCCTTTGAGCTGTGGTGCTGGAGAAGAGTATTGAATGTACCATGAGAGGGTTAAACCAAGCAACTCCTTGGAGGCAAGGATTCTGGGGCTTAGTCTGACATACTTTGGGCATGTTGCAAGGAGGGACAGGTCCTTGGAGAGGGACATCATGCTTGGGAGGGTGGAGGGATGGCGCAAGAGGGGAAGACCCTCTATGAGGTGGATTGATTCAGTGACTGGGGTAATCAGGATGGGTGTGTCAGAGGCAGTGCGATTGGCACAGGATAGAGCAGGGTTTAGGGCTGTTGTACATATAGGGTCACTATGAGTCGCAAACTACTCGACAGCACATAACAACTCCAAAAACCTAAGATACCCCCTGCCCCGAGGAAGATTCATCAACAACCTTCATTATACAGATGATACAACCTTGATTGCTCAAATGAAGAAGAACCTGAAGCATTTGCTGTAGAGGGTCAACTGTAGCCTGCAATATGGATTGAAGCTCAACATCAAGAAAATAAAGATTCTTACCACTGGGCCAATTGGAAGCACCAGGATAGATGGAGAAAAGATTGAAATTGTTAATAATTTCAACTTACTTGGTTCCACAATCAACACTATATAAGCAGTCAAGAAATCAAAAGGCTAATTACATTAGGAAAATCTGTTGTCAGGGACGTCTCCAGAGTGCTGAAGAGCAATAGTGTCAGTTTAGAGACTAAGGTGTGCCTGATCCAGGCCATGGTCTTCACATTTACTTGCTATCCATCAGAGAGCTGGACAATGACCAAAGATGACAGGAAACGAATTGATGCCTTTGAGTTGTTATGCTGGAGAAGAGTATTGAACATACCATGGACTGCCAAGATAATTAACAAATAGGTCTTGGAGAGAGGCACACCAATCTACTCCTTGGAGGCAGGATTTTGAGATTCTAGCTCACACACTTTGGGTTTGTTGCCAGGAGAGATCAAGGATATCATTCTTGGAAGAGTGAACGGATAGAGCAGGAGAGGAAAAACCCTGACGTGATTGATTGACATAGTAACTGGAATAATGAGGGTAGCTGTATCAGAGATGGTTAGATTGGCTCAGGATAGAGAAAGATACAGAGCTATTGTGCAAAGAGTCGCTATGAGATGTAGTCAACTCAACAGCATATAACAACACAAAACCCATTAGAGAAGTTTATCACTTTAGCTAATCCTCTAGCAGTGCAACTGTAAATTTCATGAGTAGAGATTTCCTATTTCCCATCATTCTCCCAAGGAGTTGTTGATTGATTTGAACCACTCCACTTTAATTATATCTTCAAGTATTAATTGTTCATTGCCTGATGTGTTTCCACCTATCTCTCTTTTTTAATTAGTGCAAAATCTCTGATTCTTCTACACTACTATCAGTACCTTAGTTGAAAATCTGAGATTTTATATTATGTAGAACATTATACATTCTATAACTATGTCCATCATCTACATCTACATTTTTTAAAAAACCACCCTGCAACAAACAACAAACATTTGAGCCATACACTGAGAAGGAACTACCTGAAATTCAAGCAGAATTTAGAAGTAAACATAGAATGAGTGATATTATGCTGACATCAGATTAATCTAGGCTGAAAATAGAAAAAGGTGTTTCCTTGTGTTTTATAGGCTGTAAAGACACTCAACTGTGTGGATTTTAACAATTTATGTATAATATTGAGAAGAATGGAAATTGCAAAATGCTCAATTGTGTTCATGTAGAACCTGTACACAAACCAAGAGTAAGGGGATTCTACATTGTTCTAATCCACTAGCTGCTTTGTGGGAAGAAGATGAGCAATGAAATTTACTGCCTTTGAAAACTTGTTGGAGGGTTAGCCTACGGGTCAGTTATAGCTCGACAGCAAATATCCACAACAGCATGGTTTAACAAACTCTGGTGGTTTAGTGGTAAGAAGTTCTGCTGCCAGCTCAAAGGCAAATGATTCAAATCTCCTAGCTACTCTGCAGGAGAAATATGAACAATCCTGTGCAATTTATAGTCTCAGCGTTATTCACCATCACAAGAACGTGAAAACAGCCCAAATGTCCAACTACAATCGAATGAATTGAGAAATTGTGGTACATTCACATGATGGAAAACTATATAGCACTAAGGAGAAAGGTTTTTGTAAATTACTTCCTAATTTGGGAGGGACTGGAGAGCATTACGTTAAGTGAATTAACTCAGTCCCATAAGGACAAATACTGTATAAGACCATTATTGTTGAACAAGTATGAGGATTCAAGAAAGTGGGGGGAGCAAATTGGAATCATAAGGTCTCACAATTAGATCACTGGAGGGGGAAAGTGAAGGAAATGGGAAAGATGCAGTGTAAAAAACAACTTATACAAACTTTGTAAATAAACTGGTATTAAAAAAAGGGAAAGTACATAACAATGACAGCACATGGTTTAGAATTGGAGAAAGTGTGTATTAGGTTTATATGCTTTCACTATATGTAGAGCAAATAATCCAAGAAGCAGAGCTATTGAAGGAGAAGAATGTGGTATCAGGATTAAGGAAGTCTCATAAACAACATGCAAAATCCAGATGGCATAACTTTGCAGAAAACTAAGAATATCTGAAGCTTTTATTGATGAAGTTTAAAGCCTACAGCCTATAGCATGAGTTATATCATATAATAAAGAGAACACAAAATTCTCATAATATGACCCATAAACGTTCTGATAAATAGGGAAAATATTAGAGTTGCAAAGGATTTCCTTCTACTTGGATCCACAATCAACACCCATGGAAGCGACAGCCAGGAAATAAAATTATGTCTTTCAGTAGGTAAATCCACTGTCGAGGGCCTCTTTAGGTGCTGAGAAACTAGGATGCTACTTTTAAAACTAAGACATGCTGCAGATAAACTATGATATTTCTAATCACTTCAAATGCTGTGTAAGTTTAACAATGAATAAGGAAAATCAAAGAAAAATTGATGCCACTGAAATGTAGTTTTAGAATAGAGCACTGAAGGTAGCACATATTGCTGAAAACCCAAATACTTCTACTTTGGAAGAATTGCAACCAGAACGCTTCTTAAAAGCAAGGATGGCAAAACTCCACCTCAGATTTAGGGCATATTTTCATGAGGTACCAGTCCCTGGAGAAAGACATGTGGTGGTGGTGTTGTTGTTATTAAGTACAGTGAGTTGAGTATGGCTCATAGAAATCCTATGTACAAGAGATCTGAACCCTGTTTTATCTTGTGCCATCCTCCTACTTCCTAACACACAAGAGCCCATTGTGGGAATCACTACATCAATCTACCTGGTCAAGGGTCTTTCTTTACTTCGCCAACACTTCACCCTTCCTAAAATTTCCTCATTTCAACTGATTTCCAATCTGAGCTCTACCACTACACAACTATAACTATCCTCATTCCTCTAGTGTTCCTAGGGTTTTTGAATGCCTGATATTTAAGAAGTAAATGCCAATCCTGCTTCCTTGTCTGTCTGAATCTTGGAACTCTACCAAACCCTGTCCACCATGGGTAGCCCTTAAGGCATTTGGCATACCTGTGGCACAGCTTTCAGTATCACAATCCCAAGTTATCTTAGTACAGCAAACAGACAGAGAAGTGCTGTACCATTTAGGACAATGTTGTCCCCAAACACAATTAACACTAAATAACACCAGGCCTGAAGGAAAGATATAGTGCTTTGTAAATAGAGGATTTATTGAAAAAGAGTGACTCTCAAGGGGATGGCTTGACAGCATGACTGCAGCAATGGGCTCAAGCACAGCAAAGATCATGTGCATGGCACAGCACTGTACAGTGTTTCCTTCTGTTACGCACAGGATTGTTATGAGCAGAAGCCAGCAAAATAGCACTTATCAATATTGTCCATTTGTATATTATCTTTAGATATTATTACATTATATCATATCTCATCAAGGGAATAACTACATCCTGACTGCAAAAGCAGAGAATCATGGACAACCAAGTTGATATACAACCTTAGCCACAAATGCATTCAGTCTGTTTATTACAGACAATGATGACTCAAGGTTGTGATGCACTCTTTT